TTTATCAAGAATAAACTTCTCTTTCCCTCCCCATTTCCCCGTTCCCCCTTCAATCACATTAGCGAACAACACATTTAACGTTTCATCCTCCCTTTGCAACACAGAGATATTTTCGGGCACATCCCATTTCATGTTCTTAGTGTCCGGCTCTTTTGACCATAGCTGCTTCTCAAAGTGGCGTTGGCGGCGAGATTTTCTTGGCCCTTTCGTGCCACCATCGCACAGACTACTGTCAAAGTCTGGCAGGGGTTGGCATTCAGCCTTCGCCCGGGCCCTAGTGACCACCGGGCCTAACACATTCACTTTAACCTTCCCCGCTTCCCCCCTCTCAGTCTCTGTGGCCCATTCTTCTTTTTCTTGCAACAAATCCATAAGCACAGGCAAGTCCATCCCCAGAATAACCTCTACCGGCAAATTCTGTACCACCCCAACTGACAATAGGTATGGCTGTTCATGAATAGTCACTGTTACTTCCACCTTTGGGTATGGGTGTTTATCACCTAACATAACATAACACATAACACATCTTCTTGTCTGCTGTAATCCACACAGTTCACTGGTACCAAGCTTTGCTTAATTAATGACATGAAACTACCAGTGTCCAGCAAAGCAGTAACCTGCTGACCATTTACTATCACTTTTTTATAGCGTTGCACATCCACTGGCTGGACCCTTGTAGGCTCCGCCTCCAGTCGGGGTGCATAGCAGGCCCCCGTGACTTTGGCCTTCCGAATAGGGCACACTGAGGCTTTATGGCCTGGCTGCTGGCAATAATAACAAAGAAAGTCCTTACCCGCTCCTCGTAGATTAGATACCTTGGGGATCCCGGGTGGCTCGGGGTTGCTCTCCCTCTTCAAAAACCCAGACGATGGAAGTGGTGGTCGCTGTGGCGTCCCAGATGAGCGTGCAGGTGGTGCTCCTTTACGCGCGTTGAAGTACTGTGACACCAGCTTAGCAGCGGCCAGTCCATCTGCTGGCTCATGCTCCCTCACCCAGGTCCTCACCTCCCCTGGCAGTACTCGAATTAACTGCTCCAAGATGATCGCTTCTCCCATCTCGTCCTTCGTGTGCTGCTCTGGTCGGAGCCAGCGTCGATAAAGTCCTTTCAGGCGATAATAGGTCTCGGTGGGGCTCTCACCAGGTGGAATTATATTAGAGCAAAACCGCTGCCGATACGTTTCCGGTGAAATGTCAAATTTAATTAACAAGGCAGTTTTGAGATCTTCATACCGATGGGCTCTTTCTTCATCCATTGCAGTATAGGCCTCCAACGCCTTCCCCGCTAGCAGTGGAACTAGCCGACAGGCCCATTCGCTCTCTGGCCATCTCCATGTTCTGGCCACCCGCTCAAAACGC